GGCAGGGACAGCTCTCACCTGCTGGTTTGAAAAAGAGGGTCCTGACACCCCTCACTTTTCCGGCTGAGGGCCATAACCTCAAATTTCCCCTGTGCCTGGAGAGACCCAGCTCATCCCCACAGCCCCATGGATCCCAGGGAAGGTCGGGTCCCCCTTCCCATCTCCGTACCCCAGGACTGCAGCGCTCTGGGCTGCCCCAAATGAGCATCACCCCCAGGTCAGCGCAGGCAGAGCTGCTTTTTTTCCCCCAGGGATTTCTTGCGGTTGTTTTTTTCTGAGTCATAAGGCACAAACCAGTGTCAGGCGTTGGACCCGGGGGTGAGCTGCTCGGCTGCAGCAAACCCCGTGAACAGTAAAATGCACTCACGGGTGCAGCACCGCAAAGCTGCCTTTCTTTGGCTATTTTTTCCCTTTTTTCTCTTCCCCGAAGAGGCTGCCTTCCTGGTCGAGAGGCAGGACCTTTGACAAGCCAAGAACAATTAAGCTGGAGAACAGAGGGAGGAGAAGCAAAGGTACAGCTTTATGGCATTAAAATAAATCAGTGCAAACTCTGAATTTCCCATTTATTGAAACCAATCACAGTTAAAAGGTCAAATCCATTGGCAAACAGTAGTTTTGTATCATCCAGAGTGACACACAAATGAAGTACAAATGAAATCCAACAAAAAAAAAAAAAAAAAAGAACCAAACAAAAATGCATGGCTCTAGCTTAGTTTGTTCAAGACTGTTCCCTTCGGCTGCCCTTCCTGCAGCTTCTCTGGCAGGACTGAATGATGGTCCATGACCCCCCCACTCGCAGCCCTGCTCCCCCGAGAGCCCCGTGGCTGCGGGGGAACGGAGATGCAGGCAGCAGCCAGGTGATCCAGTTTTTTTCTGCTGAAGGGTCTAATAAACCCCTTCGTATTGAAGACAGAAGCATCTTTAGCGAAGAGGGAGGTGTGGTTTGCGGCATCTTTCCAGCTTCGGTGTTTTGCTCCTCGCTCGAGTGTGCACCAGGCACAGGCTCGATCCTCAGCCTGGAAGGGACTAATCCTGCCTGCTCAGGAACAGCCATTCAACAAGAGACGCTTGAAAAGCAGAGGGTGAAGAGGCAGGTACATACAGTGCATGCTTCTGGCTCTTCAGGTAGGTTAATTAATTCACCCTGATGAATTATTTCATCCTGATGCTGCTCAGGAAGACGAGAGCTCCCGGCACGCTCAGGTCCTGACTCAGCTCCGAGCTCTTCTGCAGAGTTAAGCACGACCAGGACCACCGCCGGGAAAAACCTGCGTCAGCTCTTCGTGGAGTTACGAACCAGTGGAACCAGCAGCCGTAACGCAGCAATCGCTCGGTAAGGCCAGACACAGTCACGGGCCCACGTGGAAACATACCCTGCTGTACGCCAGTGGGGCAGCACACCATCGACGTGGATGACCACACCTTGCCTTTTCAAAGAGTACATGCTAGAAAACATAAAAATTCTTCTTTCCTGTTTTTTTTTTTTTTTTTTTCCCCAGAGAAAAACTCAGGGTATTGGACACAACGCATTGGATCAATGCCCCACTTAGGAGATAAATTTAGGAAAAAATGACATTTCCCTCTTACAGAGATCCCAGGAAAATTCATTTTTATTTGCCTGGACTATTTGCATCCATCAAAACTAACACCCTAAAACATTCCCAAGGACCAGCAGGATACATGAGACCTGCGATCCCGCAGAGTGCCATACATGTTATCTTAGCCCTAACGCCTTCCACCTGCCTTTCAAAAGCAGTGTGGAAATCGAGACTTCATAAGTTTACTCCATTCAAATGCCTTGGTACTTAACCACAGACCAGCTTAAACACGCAACAGTGAATTTCTAATCTTCTACAGAACAAAGATGATCAAAACCCAGAGTGACCCGACTCAGAGAAACCAGCCCAGCGCGGAAGGGAAAGGACAGGGTGACCCGCAGCCCGGCCGACACGTCGTCCAACGACCCTCCCGAGAGGAAAAGAAAATCTGGTGGTGAAAGGAAACCAGGACCTGCGAGGAACCGCCTGTCTTTGTGCTTTGAAAACCATCGACTTGACGTTGGAGGGGAGGAAGAAATATAAAATTATAGGAAATCAACACCAAACCAGATCCAAAAAAATATATATACAAAAACAGTCTAGAGGGTAACGCGTGTCCAGTTCCAAATGCCACCGCACATTTTGCTCTGAAGTCTCCTGGGGAGCGGCGCGCTGCCCTACCCGAGCCCAACGTCCAGGGACATCATCACCACAAATCCTAATATCGAGGTCCAGGACGCCAGCTTCCCATTGCCACTGCAGGGAGAAAAGGGGAGGGCGTGAGCTCCTAGGAGCCAGGACTGCCGTTTCGGATGAGGGAAGTGCTGCTTTATATCTCATCTGGGCAAGGGAAGGGATCTTCCAGGGTCCTCTGTGCTTCCCCCCATGTCTACCTGCCTTTAGTGGTGGTCACCACGGGGGTCTCACCTGGTCTGTGCCTCAGGGATGATATCGTCCATCACCACGTAGACCATTGCTCCGGCGGCAAAGCCCAAGGCGTAGGGGAGGAGAGGCTCTGCCACCACCACGGCGAAGGCACCAAAGACACCGGCTAAAGGCTCCACCATGCCGCTCAGCTGCCCGTACCTGCAAAAGACCGGGACTAAAAGCCACCGGGGACATGGCGTGAAGGGCGGCACAGCCCTCCTGCGGGGCTGCCGGGGCTCTGCCGCCCCCCATCCCCATGGTCCTCCCTAATGCCACTGTGCCCAGGAGGAGGTCGGCCGCCCGGCCACACCAAGCCAAGTCACCTAGATTATTTTACACAGGCGATGAAGGTGATTTGACCTAACCTAGCTGATTTTTCCAGGAAAGGAATTAAGGCACAATCCAATTCCTTCCCCCAAGAGCTCTGTGGGATTTGGGGACCCAGCTCATGGGCAGGGATGGGTCAGAGAGGAAACTGTTCCAACCAGCATAGCTCAATCCCAAAGAGGAAATCTGGCCACGGCCTCAACCAGGATGAAATTGTACTCTTCCCCCTCATTTTTCTTCCCCTCTAGGACTGTTTTAACTCTCCGGACCATGGGAACTCCCTTCCCGGCAGCAGCAATCCCAGTGCAAGTCCCAGCACCGGCTGCGCTTACTGAATTGGAGGTGGGTGGGAGGAAAAGAAAACAAAGCTTTGGCGGGAGCAGCTTCCAAGCCACCCCCCTGCCCTCCCATCCATCACCCGGCCGAGCACACGTGCACGGGCAGGAACGCAGCCCTGCGCTCGCAGGGTTCATGCCCTTGGCTTTTTCACCTCAGGGAAAAGGGAAAAGAAAAAATAAAAAGTGGGTTTGAAATTCAGCCCAGAGTGAAGTGAGAGAAAAAAAATAAAACAAAAGTAAAAGAAAAAAAAAATTAAGAAAAAAACAACTTTTTAGTGCAGAATCTGGGAGCACACCACAGGCGCTCAGCAGGCAGCTGACGTGGGACAGGGTGACCCACCAGGATCACCGATGGATGCCCCAGGAGCCGGGGGCTCGGACCTGAGCTCGGGGGCTGCGGAGGGAGCAGGACAGTACTCACCGCCCTTCCTCAAAGCTGGAAACCAGCAGCAGCTCTCCACTGGGAGAAACAGATATGGGGAGGGAAGCTATAGGCACCCGCTTGTCAGGAGCTGCTGGCAGAGGTCTCGTTTCCAGGGGCAAAGAGAAGCTCAGCTTACCAGAACGCTTTCCACGTGGAAAATCCAGCGCCGCGCAAGGGCAGGCTGACAGCCAGGCCCTCGGGGAAATTCTGAATCCCAATCCCGATTGCTAAGTTCCTATCCACACAAAAAAGCACAAATATATATATTTATCAGGTGGAAAGCACAGCCTGGGATAGGCTGCTAGGAGCTGGGGGAAAAAGAGAGACATTATTACAGATATGCCTTTCGAATGGAAGTGCAGCTAGCCCTGGGGCTAGTCATGCTAATATTTAACATGAACACAGCAAATTTCATCTTCAAAGAGCTCCACAGCATTTAATCAGCTTCAGCATCAGCCCTGGGAGCAACAGAGACCAGATGGAGGAGAAGAGACCTGTCCAGGGAGGCCCCACAAGGCATTTCCAACCCAAGGCTTCCCGGGAGCCGCAGCATCCCTGGGCCCCGGCGTTTGGGGCAGCCCTGGGCTCACGGGTCCCCCAAAGGGTCGGGGTTCCTCCCTCCCAGGGGGGCTTTGCCAGAGGGGCCCCAACGCAGCCCCTGGTCCCTCTCCCGTAACCTGCCCCAGCTCTCACCCCTGCACGAGCCGTACAGCCGTGGGGCTCGTCAGAAGAGAAGAAGTATATTTTAGCCACAGGATTTCACTTTCTTTCTCTCTATTTTCCCCCTCTTGCATCCTATGGAAAGGTGGCACTTGGACTTCCAGAGCCAAAACCAGCCAGAGGGGAGAGCTGGTCTGTCCATCAGTAAAGTAGCAGAGGAGGAGGCAGGCTGCTGTGAGGACCATTTCTCCAGGCACGAGAGATAAAAAGCCTGATAAAGGGGGTTAGGCAGGCAGACACGGTGAACGTGAACTGTTCCAAGTATAGCCCCATGTCCCCAGCGGCAGAAAACACAGCTCTGAAGGACAGATAGGAGAGGCTTGAAGGGATGTTCAAGGGTAGAGAATTAGCTGAGGTTTCTCCTCACTTTCCCTCTCCCCTTCGATACTTAGACCCAATACCTGTTTCAGCAGCCACCTTCAGAGCACCCTGTGCCTGCCCACTGCGCTCCTGCCCAAGCCTCTCCCATGCAGCAGCCCCGTGGTGGGACCACCCCATCACCCAGAGCTTATCCAGAGGAAAATTTTTCACAAAGAGAACAGTCAACCATTGGAATAATCTCTCCAGGGAAGTGGTTGACTCCGCTACACTGAACGCTTTTAAGACTCAGCTGGACATGGTGCTGGGCCATCTCATCTAGACTGTGCTCTTGCCTAGAAAGGTTGGACCAGATGATCCTTGAGGTCCCTTCCAACCTGGTATTCTATGATTCTGTGATTATCCAAAATGGAAATAGCTCTGCAAACAGCTGGCAGTCACAAAAGCTGGATTTGCAGTGGGAGGGTTTGTCGAATCTTCTGTGCGGGAGGCAGCTGCACCCCAGCCCCATGCACCAGCACCTCATCGAGCAGAGGCTGCTCCTGGTACCCCCCACCCACACCATCACCCATCCTCAGCTGGGATTTGCTCCAGCCTTGGGAACGGTCCTTCCCCTCCGCCCCAGGGTCCCTTCCAGCTCAGCAGGAGTTTTGGATTTTTGGTGAAAACCAGGAAATTCGGATACGGAGTTTTCTCCTTCACTCAAGGAACAAAATTGTTGCAAGCACCAAACGAAATGGGGCTCCTTTTTTATGGCATGGGCTCCTTAGGCTGCGCGGCTCCACGAGAGCAAACAAGAACTTGTTCCACGGTTGGAGCATTTCTCCCCTCGTGGCTTCGCTGGTGTGTGTTGGTGGAGCTGGGGGTGGCCTGTCCCAGGGGCCACCGAGAGCATGACCGTCCCCGGGGGGCTCAAGGCTCCAGCAGCAAGGTACCGGGCTGCGACCTGCCCCAGCCCATGGCTCTGAGCAGGACCCCAGCACCTCTCTGCAAGGTCAGTTATTCCTTTTCCAGCAGCTGAAAGCTCCCTTTGCTGCTTTAAACACTTGTTTCCTATTAGTAAAATAAGACTGGTGAGAAAAATCTCTCTAGGTTGTTTAAACTTCTACCAGGGTTTACAGAAGAGGGGAGGGGAAGGGGGAGAGGCTGTGGGTTTCCCTAACCAGGACAGGCTATTGCAATCAAAAACATTATTCAAGGGAAAGAGAGAGGGAGCGGAGGGGGAAAAACATCCCTTTTAGAAAACACTGGAGCCGCTGTCTGTGCGCTGGGTTTTTTTTCCTCCTTCCCTCGCCTTCGCACAAAGCAGCTATTACTGGCCCCGACCACAACAAATTAATGGGGTGGGAGAGGGAGGTGTGAATGGAGGGGTCTGTACGGGAAGGGCAGCAAGCCCCCCCCTCACCCCCAGGAGGAGGGAACCCCGCGCTGACCCCTCGCCCTGCAGCAGCTCCAGGAGAGAGAAAGTCCCAAGGGGCAGGAGGAAAGGGATTTTAACCTGGAGAAAGATCCAGCAGGAGAAGCCCAAACGGGTGGGTTTGCCCCTGCTCTCCTCCTCGCACACACCCCTAGTAAAACCCATCAGGAGGCCCCGAAACAAGAACCTGCCCCAGCCCTACAGCTTGGGCCACCTCCACAGCAGCGGCGGATGGCCAGTGGGTCCGGCGTGTGCCGGGGACAGGGCTGCAGCCAGCTCGGCAAGCACAGCAAGCAGTAGGCTGCAGTGAGCAACGTGCCACGTGCCACAGCATGCACACACTACGGCAAGCAACATGCCACGGTGTGCAATGGGTCACAGCGTGCTCCTGCACCGACAGGGACCCTCTGGGGTCAGGCCACCCAAGCCCCCCAGCCCTCAGCACAGAGGCAGCAACGCATGCCCCCTCCCAGGTCAACATATTAACCCAAGAAATGCAGGTGTGGGCATCACGCCGCGTGGGTGCCGGCAGTCAGGGCAGGCACGCAAAGCTTCAGCGTGTGGCAGGGCAAGAGGCAAAGGCCACCAGAGACCCAGTGCCTGGCTGCAGGCATCCCTGTGCGTGTGGTTTCTCACGCCTGCCTTGGGACATCCACAGGGCAGAAAGGACCTTCTGGGCTCAGCGTCAAGCTGAGAAGGTCCCCATGTCATCTCCTGGCCTCCGCAAAGGTCTTCTGCTCATCCAGACCATGCTCCCCCGCCCCTAGGACCACTCGTTCCTTCAACGCTTCCTCCCACCACAGCTCTGCCTGAACACTTCTTGGACTTTGGGACCTTCTGAGCGTTTCCCAAGGACACTAATCTCATCAGGATGAGGATAACTCCGTGACAACATGGAGGCCAGGAACACATAAGCCTTCCTATTTGCTTTGCCTTGGTTCACTGCACAAAGGGTACCTCCACTCACTGCTCAGGGGACACCTCTGTCTGCCCAGCGCAGCATCTCGGGAGATGTCCGGGTGCTAAGGCAAAGCAGATTTACCTCCGATGCCCTAAACGTGAAATAAAACCATCCCACGGGACATTCTTCTCCCCCTTCGCCACGGAGCCATGCACACCTCACACCTTCTCCGTAGCTCCCGTGTCGAGCTGACGGCAACGCGGTTGGTGAGAAAGCAACTGAATCAAAGCTGCATTGTGTACGAGGAAAACAAAGGCGTCCTTATTACGGAAATAGGTGGGGATTCTTGGAAGGCTTCCCCCGACTGCAAAGAAACACATTGTAAAACAGATGCACAAAGACAAACTGGAGCAGCCTGGCCCAGGGGAGCCGAACCTCTGGGTGCCCGCGGCGAGCTACGGCACACAGAGAAGACAACGGGGTGATGAGCTAACATAGCCAGAGGGACAATGATCAGAATGAAATGTTTAGAGACATTAGGGTCTCTAAAGTGAGGAAGGTGGGGAATAACCGACAGAGAGGTGTTAGAAGCAGATCCCATCTGGTCTGATGGGTCACTGGTGTCCAGCTAAAAGACATTTTGTAGACAAGGAGGATAACCTGTGGCTCATCCCCAACGTACAAACATGCGTTGGCCTAAAGTAATAGCAGCCCAGGGGAAACCACACCAAACGCTGCCTGGGGATGCGTGTGCCCCGTTAGCGGCTCTGCCACTGGCGCCCTGGCCAACGCGGGAATGTCACTTGGGTGTCTCCTCCATTTGGGCACGATGGACTCAGGTGTCTTAGGAAGCATCGAGGATCAAGAAGCCAACATGCATTAGGCATGTTACCTTTCGCAGCGCTCTGCCTCAGCTCCCCCATCTGTAAAATGGCGGTGATGACAGTGATGTCCTCCATAACCTCCATCTGGGAACAGAAACGCCACTAGGACACGTGCCATCTACACGTGAGCTCTGCAGAGAGCCAGCGATGCTGGGATGAGTCTGCCCTCGCGTTGGCTGATCCTCTTCTGCAGCAGAGCCCAGTGCTGCGGTTTTAAGGAAGAAAAGGTAAAACCATGGCATCCTGGTGGAGCTCCACCGAGGACCAGCTCCTCGTGGCAAGAGGGAAAGACTCTGTGTCCCCCGGGAACATACCAGGGCTGGACCTCCTACCCCCAAGCTCGCCTGCCAACTGCTGTGGCACCACGCTGGGAGACTCCAAGTTCACTTTCAAAAAAAGTTGGCATCTCTGCATATTTGCAAGGTCAAGGCACAGAAAGCCTTCTATAAGCCTAAACCCTTGTTTTCAAGGGCCTATTCTTTTACAAACTGATTATGAAAGCAGGCTACATATTCTTAACAAGCCCCTTTTCACTACAGCTTTCAATTCCCTCCAGTGTATAATGTGCATGTGTATTCTTGCATGGCAGGCCCTTACATACTGTTTTGATTGTTATCGTCTTGCCATGAAAGGGCCGATTGTTTTGGGTTCCCAAGATTACATCATGGCTCCCACTCGGGCCGCCCGTCGAGGTGTTTGATCAGGGCTCGCAGGTGGGAAGGAGCTCTGCGGTGAGCGCAGGGCCCTGAGCGTTTCCCCATACCTGCCCTACCTGTTAAACACAGCTGCCGACACGGTATGCCCGCTGTTACGGGAGGCTCTCACGCGAGGAGGCGGTCGGGGTGCTGCGGGGGGGAGAAGGGTGGCAGCAGTCCCCCCCATCAGCCCCAGTGCCCACCAGACCACGCTCCCACCCTGAGTAGCAGCCTGACCCATCCATGGGCACACGGGGCTCCTGGTGACTCCGTTGCTTTAGGTGCTCGGCCTTTTAAAGG